TTAATTATAGTTAAACAACTTTGTTTTCCCACCAATATCTAACATTATTTTAATTTCTAACACTTAAACAGTGGACAGACATAAAATAGAAAGGCAATGTCATTTTTTGTCCCTCATAGGGAAAATTACATTGCAACAGCAGAAAGTGACAGGCAATTTGTTTACACAAACATACATATACCAATGTGTGTTTTTAAATATGCACACAGAGAATTAAGAGAAACATACTGTACAACCAGGGCAAAATTACAACCTAAAAATACTTTGGTAGACTTTAAAGTTTAATCCCATCCTAAATATGCAATTGAGAAGGACAATTTAAGAGATGTGCAATTTTGCCTAAAATATTTGCAATACTAACAATGACATTTATTAATATAGAGAATGTTTTTCTAGGATATTAAAAACATACTGTAATAATTATGGTTAAAAATGCATTCAGAATCTATATTTTACCAAACAGATCTCAAGTATTGCATGGGGGTAAGATTGTAACAGTACTCAAAATTGACTCTGCATCCATATTTGTTTAATCTTCCTTGCCTTCAGATTTGGCAACATACATGTAACACAGTTCCTCTCTTATCCTTCTAGTGTTTCACTTCATGTGGAGATGCAAAGACTGCGAGAGCTTGTTTTCCAGAAGATCTGAATTGCTCAAGCACTACAAACTAAACCACAGGCATTATGGACGGGCTATTCATATCCATGCACATATTTAAGTTGCGCATGTAGATTCAAGACCTGGAATGCTTTACTGAACCATTTATCAAGACATCATCCAGTCCACCAACAGTTAACAATGACTTAACCGCATTCAAATGCCCCATTTGTGATTCTAATCAACTTTCCACGGAGAGAGATTTTTTTCAGCATATATTTCAACATCTCAAGAATAAGGAAACAGTCACATGTGTGTTTCAGGACTGTGTTTATCAAACAAATAATTACGAGAACTACAAAAGTCATAAATACAGAAAACATTCTGATGCTAACAATACATTGAAGACTGGGATTACTGAAAAAAAACAATTAGACTGTGGTGAAGAATTGTGTGCTAGTTTTGGCACTGACATTTTTGATCAGGACAGTACTGTACAAGCTAATCCAAATCCCATTTAACAGGAATGATTCTGAAAACTTAGAGAGAGATATTGAACTTAAACTTGCATCAGTTCTTCTAAAGTTAGAAAGCACTTATCTTGTTTCAAATGCAGCTATTGATGATCTATTGCAGGAGTTAAACTATTTAATTGGTTCTTGTCCCTGCCTGTTACATGTAGAACTATAACCCAAATACTACACAATCATCTTTGCCAGTTTGACCCATCAGTTGTTGAAAACCTTGCCAAGGCCCTCTGTGAAACAAACCCTGTAAAAAAAGCAATAGGAGAGAAAGGCTCCCTTTCTAGTGCTTGGAGACGAAAAAAATTCTATAAAAGACATTTTAAAGTGGTAGAACCTGAAGAATATTCTTGATAAAAAAAATAGAAAGTCATTCCAATATGTATCAATCCTAAAGTCTTTGCAGCAAGTTCTGGATTGTGAGGTTATCTTGGATCAGACTGATAACTTAAATAGTCTTAATAAAGTACCACAAAGGAGTGTTCATGCATAGGTCTTTCTACGATGGGTCATTTTTCAGTGAAAACGAGCTTTTGAGTAAGGAGGAGAGCATTTCATTAGTATTATATATAGACGATTTCGAAATATGCAACCCTCTCGGGACATCTAAACGAAAACATAAAATTTGTGGTTTATACTGGATTCTTGGAAATTTACCACAGGGGTGTAATTCAAACTTGTCTTCCATTTACCTGGCTGCTTTAATCAAAACAAATGATTTGAAGTGCTATGGTTACGAGAAAGTTTTAGAACCTTTACTTAATGAGCTTGTGATTTTGGAACAAAAAGGGGTCTTTGTCTCAAAGTTGGGGAGAGCTGTAAAAGGCACAGTTCAGTGCGTGGTTGCAGATAATCTTGCTGCCCACAGTATTGGTGGCTTTGTAGAAAACTTCACAGGGTCATACATATGTAGGTTTTGTCTTGCAGTTAAAACAGACATTCAAACTACAGAGGTTAAAACTGGTGCATTTACCTTGAGAACCAAAAGCATTCATGCAGATTGCTTAAAAAGTATCGAGGAACATGAATTGCCAAGTTATCGGGGTGTGAAATCAGCTTCCATTTTATCGCATTTGTTGTATTTTGACATTACCACAGGTCTTCCTCCAGACATTGTACATGACCTGTTTGAAGGAGTTGTTCCTTTTGAACTAGCTTTGTGTCTGGGTGTTTTGATTAAGAAAAAGTATTTCACTTTGGCATCACTGAATGACGCAATAGCGTCTTTCAACTTTAAGGGTACTGATAGAACTAATCGACCTCAACAAATTTCCCTCCATTTTGAAGCCAAAAAAAGTTGGGGTAATGCACATGAGAATTGGAGTTTGCTCAGATTCTTACCTTTGTTGATTGGACACAGAGTGCAATATGAGGAGCCAGCTTGGCATATCTTAACAGACTTAAGAGACATTGTTGATCTTGTTGTCTGTCCCATGCACAGAGGACTCTATTGCCTACCTTGACTTTAAGATCTCAGAACACAGAGCACAATTCCAGGAGGTTTTTCCTAATTGGGACCTTAAACCAAAACACCATTTCTTGGAACATTACCCACAGTTGATTCGCCAGTTTGGTCCTTTAGTAGCCTTATGGTCCATGCGCTTTGAAGCTAAGCATAGTTTTTTTAAAAGAGTTGCAAGAAATATCAAGTGCTTTAAAAATGTCCTCTGTACTCTTGCAGACAGACACCAGTATCAGATGGCACATCATTTGCATTTATGTGGTTTTACAAAACCTCATTTGGAAGTTACAAATGTTTTCACAGTAACAACTGATGTTCTTGATAAGGGAATCGTAAATGCTCTCAAACAGATGTTTTCAAATCTGGCCACAGTATGCATGACTAAAAGTGCAACATTTAATGGACTGAAGTATAGATGCGGGATGATCTTGATCCATGGCTCATTGGGAGGATTACCAGAGTTCATTGAAATCATCCAAATGGTGATCCTGGCAACAGCTATTCTTTCTGGTCAGAAAACTTGAGGGGTGGTATCTTGAGCATTACAGATCTTACAATCTCAAAACATCGTCAGACAAAGAACTGAAACTTGTTGAGCTACAAGACCTAACGGATGTGTACCCGCTGGTAGACTACAAAATTCGAGGAATGCGTCTTGTGACAGTGAAAAGATATGTCCACGTTTTATGGTAATATAAGATTGTACAAAAAATGTAATGCATGTTAGATTTTATTTTTCCTTTATGGCTGAAACTACCTTTTATTTTGTCTTCCCCTCTATAAGCAAATGTCCTAACATTCAACTAATATATCCTCCTGAGACCCAGAGAAAAAAATGTTTTTGAATTTCTTTTTTTTTTACACTACATGACTCTTAGGAGTGAAAAAACATCACTACAATTAAAAAAATGTCAAAACATGTTTTTATTTATTTTTTAGAGTATGTCCTTTGGAGAGGACATCGGGACTCTCTTGTGGCAAATATGAACACATTTCGAGGCATACATTGACCTCTGAACTCTGACAATCTTTAGTGCTGTAAATTTCAAAGAGCTACATCATTTAAGCCAGTGGTTCAGATTTCCAGGCACCTCATTCAACTTATCAAAAGCAAGCTGATTAGTGTAGTTTAATCAGGTGTGTTAGTTCTGTTTTGGTTTGTGGTAGTCCATAAAGCAGTTCTTCTTCTTTGAGATGCAGGGGTACATGTTGCTTTTGATGCACTTTTGTAGGTTTTTCCAGTGCACCCTTCTGCTCTGCACCTGGAAGTATTCGGATTGTCCATCATCTTTGGCAAATGGACAGCTCCATACTTTCTCACTTCCTGATCTGGCTGGGGCCTCCTTCTCTTCTGTGATGGGAACATACTCCTCATCATTCGACGCATCAGATTCAATTGGATTGGGTTGGCCTGAGTGCCCCTGGGCAATCAGTTCCTCACCTAAGAGCAGTTTGAAGTCATGGTATTAGAGAGTTTTCTTCATAGGTTGTGCCAAAGCTTGGCTGTCTTCCTTATACTGTAACCAGGAGTTGGTGATGGCCAGATCGAAGAAGTGTAGGATTGTGCATACAGTCTACAGGCAGGAATCCTAAGAGACAGACAAATACGTTAAATAATTATGTCCTCTAAAAGTGATAGTTCATCCAAAAAATACTCTAATCTGTCTAAGCTTATCTACTCTGGTCTCAGAAACCTACGTGTTAGTTTTGGTCCAAAGTGGGCGACGGGCCCTTGCATCCTCAACTTCACTCTCCTCTTCCTCACTTGATGCCTCATCCTCTGAACTCCCTACCTCAAAATCACCGTCATTCTGTCCTTCTTGGTCCTCCTCATCTGACAAAATCTATGTCTGAGTCTCCATCAGTATTCCTGTTTAGGATTTTCTCTGCCTCAGTCAGTGAGCTGACTTCTATTAAAACAGGTTAAAAAATAAAAAGCAAATCCTGATGTCCTCTATGGAGGACACACATAAACAGGTTATGTTTTATGCCAACAATAATTAAACTGCTCTGAAAATTCACCTAACTATTCCTTAGATGTTTATTTACTAGAAGCAATCTGAATATTAAACTCACAAATCTCATAATTAGAAAATAATATACTTACCTTTCTTCTTTTGATAAAATGTGCTCACAGGGATGGCAGGCAATTTGAAGAATCAGGAAAAATTTCTGAAAAGCCCCACCCCCACACATGTCATATCATTGGAGGGCCCAGGATGTCCTCTCTAAGGACCAACAGGATTTAACACAGTGGCATGTATGGTTTCAGAATTATGAACAAAAAACCTATGTACTCCACAGAGGACAAAAATGCATTGCTGGGTCTCAGGAGGATATGTCATATATTGTGAAGAATTTGAATAGCGGCCTTCATTACTTAACTGTCTTTATGCCCTTTTTTCAGATTGCCATGGCAAGTTCAAAACCTGCAAGACTGAAGGTGATTCTAGGAGAGAGCAACACTGAAAAACTGACTCTTCCAAATGGCATACCAGATTCTCTGGATGATCTTCTCAGCAAGGTGAAGGATACCTTTGGTTTAAAGACCAACATCAGACTGCAATATATGGACAAAGACTTTGGTAATGACTTCTTCAACCTCAGCTCAACTTCTGACCTTGAGGACTTGGGAACAGTCAAGGTGATTCAAGAAGAAGCAGTTCAACCTTTTGTTGATGTCATTGAAACAGCTCCATCTTCTTCTGCAGTTCACTCAGATGACAGCAGTTTCTTTAGCTTCAAATGACACTATACTCCTCTCCTCCCCTGAATCCTTCTCATCGCGAACAAAACAATGGCCAGCCAACTTTCCCATTCCCATGTTTTCGTATGATACTGAACGTCAGCTACAGAAGGGGAATTCTGAGTATCAGGCAAAAAACAAAATATTGACAGTCACCCCACGAATGAAGACTGACATCCTAAATAGATTAGTAGAAGAGATCTACAGATACAGAGCCTATCCAGAGGACGCACAGTTCTGTGTAGTTGCAGAGGCCTTGATTAAAAAACATCCATGTTTAAAAGAGCCTGGTTCATTCAATGGTTGCTACGGTTGGAAACAAAGGCTGAAGTACAAAATGGGAAACTACAGGACTCTACTCAAGTTTCAGGGATGTCCAGAATTGTCTGTTAACACACTTAAATCCAAAGCCAGTACTTCAGTGTTTCCCGCTGCAAAAATAAAGAAGCCAAGACGAGCTGAAGCCAACTTCTATCCTTCCTTTCCAGTGGGAGAAACACAAGAAAGTATGGAAAAAGAGAGAATTGAACTCTTGACAGCAATCAAAAGGAGGAACAATGACAAGGTCATTGCGGAGAAAATGGCTCATACCTTTGCCTACAGGCGTCAGGAGGTGTGAATGAAGAACCTGGCATAGAGGATTTCAAGGACAGATGGCCTGCCCTGTTCCAACAGAAAGAGGTAGTAATGCAGATTGAGGATTTTTACTTAGATTTTGGAATGATTGGTCAGTATTTACTTTAAGTCATTTTGTAAGATACAAAATAAGTTTTATTTTTGTTTCTCAGATTAATGCGGAGTTCCTGAGACTCATGGCTCTTCCCCTTGAGCAGACTTTCTTTGCCCAGTTGGACAGGCTCTCAAGTCAGCTGATTAAAGTCATCAAAGCCAAGGGAGGAGCAACACGTGCAAAAATAGCTGGAATCATGAGAATCTATGATGAGGTATGGATATCATCGATAGGAACACTGGGGGACATTTACCATTTAATTTAAAACAAAGAAGTTAAAGTCTCTAATTACTTTCAGACTTTTTGTTTTAATTATTAATACTTGATACACTTTGCAAAGGTGATATCACTCAAAGAAAAGCAAGTTTAACTGTCTTATGTATTTTTAGTGGATTTAGTTAGTCTGTATTGTGGTTCATTCATGAATTTCATAAAATACACCTTTCTGTCCAACTTGCCAGAAATTAGTGCTATTTAGTACATTTTTTTGAGCTTATTTTAAAATTTTAATTTTAAATGGTAGACTTATATCAATTTTATGCTGCAAGATAAAATACAAACAACAAATGATATTCATTAGTCCTAGTAGATTGTGCTAAGAAAAAGCCTTAACCTCAACAATAGTCTAGTTTCACAAATTGAGACTTGAAGCATAAATTTTGGCAGAGGTGGAATTTGCATAATTTTGAAGAGCATTATTAACCCGGTGGACATGTGGGCTGCACATTATGGTATTTGAATATATTACTGTTACATCAGAAATCTTGTCAGAGATATGGAATATTGATAACAATACATTTTCTCCAGGTGGAGGACATTGGGATTCGAAGGGAATGTGTTCTGAAAGGGCTCATCACCTTTCTTGGAGAGGATCCAGAAGACCTTATTAAGGAATACAGTGTAAGTTTCTTTTAAAGGTTTGAAGCCGCATCTTAACCCATTCAGGAAAATTGAAAAATTCAATGTCAGTTGCTTGTACCTTTTTAAATTATTTCTGGCCTGCATTTTCTATATTTAAACATCTGTTTTAATACATCAGGCAGATTTGGTGTCAGAATTGTAAATTTAACATGGTTATGTCCTGCTTAAATCCAACAGTGGTGTGCTTTGCTATTCAGCAAAGACCATTATCTAACTTCACTATCAACTTCATTTCCTGTTCACCAATATAACAAACAAGTTAATAAGAATGTTTTAGTCATGCTATTTTCATACCAGCTCCAAAATATCTGATAAGTAACAGAAATATGCATTTTGTGTTGATTTCCAACCTAAGATGACCATTGGCTTGGACTACTATTCTGCTTTGATGTATAATCTATGAATTTGTTTAAGCTAAAACCTGCAATATGACAAAACACATATAAAGTTACATCCTTGTATTATCTTTTCTAAAAACCTTAAAAATCACCCTTTGAGTTATTCAATTTTTAATGCAACTTTGAACTTGGAAAATTTATCAAGGATATTTCAGATGCCATAAACGATTCTCTTCAATTCACAAGCTGTACACTTGTACTTAATGCTTGCATTTATAAGGCTTTTATTTGTCAACTGACAGATTAGTTTACAGTCTTCAAGTTTAACATATGGTTTATCTCACTACAGGGCAGCTGTGGAGATGATGCCCAGTGGATCTCAAACAACTCACCCCTGGCAATGTTTGTGATTCGGAAGAAGGGAGAGGGATTGGAAGAAATCCCCAGAAGACATTGGCATTGTCATTGAGGGAGTGGAGGTGTTGCATGACCTGACTTCAGTTGCCTCAGCATGTGCCCTGCTTCTGGGTTTGATATATGCCCTTAACCTGGCTTATCCGAAGCCTCTGCGCTTCACATTTGAAGTGTTTCAAAAAATCTTCATGCAACTTGACCAACACAAAATGTCTCCTAAAGTTCAGAATTTGTTTGGAAGACTTCAGACCTCTCAGTAAAGACAATTGTATGTTGTGCAAAATGACAGATTATTTTCTGTCTTTTTGAACATGAGGGGGCTGTGTTTTGGAAGCTTAACCTCAAGGGACTGAACTTTTTGAATTTCTTTTGGGACATTGTGCATATTAAAGCCACAGCATTAGTAGGCTGCTGTAGTATTGTTCACAGACACTCACAGTTTTTTTTTCATATTTTTTTTTCAATTTGGATTAAGCAGTGCTTAATGTTTACTATTCTGTTTCTGATGTCAGTTTAACTTAAGTATCGGAGATGGTTTAAATGCTGCAAGCCATGACCCCACAACCTTGTTTGAAAGCATGTAGATGTTATTGCTTGTTTTCAGTTTGTTCTTGAAGATGTTAAAAACAGACACACATGTTCTTACATTTTATGTAAAAACAGTTTAGGGATTGAGAATGTTGATTTCCTTTATTTTAGGACTTGTGGTAAATCTGAAAAACATTGTTTTTCAGAGGAATACATCTGGATTCTACAAGCTCACACAGGGATGTCCAAAGTTTGTCCTGGAGAGCCATCAATGTGCAAATGTCAGATGGACTATTTCAATACCACCTTGCTGAATTTACACACCAGCAGACACTCAGCTGAGCAGGCATAGTAATGAGCACTTAATTTTATTTGGAGATTGGATTCATCTGAAAGTTGGAGGATGGTAGCTCTCCAGAACTGGACTTGGGGTACCCCATGTTCAGTTTACTAAAAAGCTAACTCAATTAAGCAGACAAGCAAAAGATCTGTGTAGTATGTTCAGTGCAAAATGTGTTGTGAAAAATCTGTAAGTTTGTGATTTCACAATAAAATTTAACATTTTCTATTTGTGCAGTGTAGATTTGTTATAACCAAGTTGAATTTTTGGGTAGTGTAAAGGAATTTTACTGCTATTGTAAAAGCTAAAACATACTTTAAAAGTGATTTATATTTAAGCATTATTGTAAGTACAAATATGCATAAACGACTTTGGGGTAGTTTCATTTTTTAACTTAGAACAACTTACATTTTTGAGTTGACTTTCTATAAATTTAAGTAAGATGGATTAAACATTTGTATATGAAATAAAGTAAATAAATTGCGTTAGACTGACCTAAATTTATCAAGTTAAACAAACTAAAAAATTATGTTGATCCAACTTAATTGAATTACTTGTTACCTACAGAAGTAATTCAATTAAGTTGGATCAACTTTTTTCTTTTTAGAGTGTATCCTGAGCGGCAGCATCGAAATTTGCCAGAAAAGGTTCAGAGGCTTTGAAGATGGCTAATTTAATTTGGCCGATTCAGGTCACTCCGTCAGTGCAGGAGGCACGGCCCGTCTATCCCTCCGCCTCCCTCATTAACCAGGCTGAGGCCCCGGTGAGCTCCAGCCTGAACCCAGCAGGGGGTTTGCAGAGATCGCGGACCTCTAAGAGACAATTAGCGCATTTAAACAATCAAAAGAAGAAGAAGGGTTGACTCTATTTCAAGAAAAAGTGGTGAAGATGTGCTGTCATATTCTTATCTTCTGATCCTTCTCCAAACTGCCACTTGCAATCTTGTCTTTGGCAAAATGAGAAATCGATTAAGCTGGTCATACCAAGTACAAAGATAAATAAATATCAGTCGTTTTTGTTTTTTTTTTTTCCACTCACTGAGTTGGCGAGCCTCATACAAAAATGAATCGATTCAGCTCATCTCCCCTCTGCTCTTCATTTTTAAAACGTGCATCTGATCTAATTACGAGAATCCCTGTGGAGAAATGTAGCTGAACACCAAAACCGCGTTGCGCGCTTCTGGAACTGCCTGCTGGTTTTTCGTCTCCTGCATCAAACCGAATCTCTACAAAAGCTGCTATTACGGAGAGAATGGAGCTTGACGCCTGATTATCAGTTCAAGTCGAGTTTGTCTCCATGCATTTCAGCAACAGGGCAAGTCAAAGTGCTTTACAGGCTAAAACAAAAGGCAGTAAGCTAACAGAAAACACTGCATAAAATAGGAGAAGTAACAATCCAGACTGCAACTAATCGTCTTCTGGTTGGTGTTTAGTCTCATTTGAAAAGAACTCAGCATTTCTGCATCTTTGTATATATTGGAATAAAAAATAAAAGGTGGTAGCCTATTTCTTGGGTTGCTCTGCTTTGTCGACTAATCAATAACGCTTCCCTAAGCAGTGGCAGACAGGATATGAGCCATGCAAGTCATGCAAATTTAGCAACAACAATTTGAAACTTCCTAAAGGAAAAGTCTTTCTTCTTTGACAGTTTTCATCACTCATTCGTCATCTTCTGCCCATCTGAGAGATCTGTCAACAGGGCCAGGCTTTCCCTTCTCCCCGAGGTTAAACCGCCCCTCCGCTGGGCTCTGCCCCTCGGCCTCCTCTCAGTGGGACTCGCTTGGCAAACCTCCAAAGGGAAGGGACCGAGGAGGCATACTGATAAGACGCCCGAGCCGACTCAATCGAAATCGATCGACGCGAGAGGCTCTGGCGCGTCCCTCCGCCTGTTGGATCACGCGGCTCCTCAGCACGTCCTCCGCCGGTGGAGAAGCGAAAGCTCGTTTCAGAACCAAGACGCCCGTGACTGGGAGAGTCGACTGCAATCCGCAAACTGATCCAAAACCGATCGGGGTAACTGTTAAGTGAAAATAAGTTCAGACGGAGATGTAACGGATTTGGGAAAGCTAAGGAGCACCGGCGCATCAGACGGGCGTGAAAACCTCAGACGTAAATCCAGACCGGAATTGTTTACACTTTCTTCAGTTATGGAAAATCAACTTTATTAAGCTTAATATCATGTTACAATGTTATTCCGTTGTAAAAAACAACAACAACAACAAAAAACATTGAATCTGCTGTGGCAACAAATTGATGTATTGAAGCACAACTACATATAGACCCCATGTACTCAAAATGCAGTTTAACACTACTAAATGTGGTTGCAAACAGCATAAAGAGAAGCATTTTTGCTTTCGCTCGCTGTGTCGGGAGGAGCAGGAGCTTCTTAAAGAGACAGAGGTCCAATTTCAAGGCGTCAAATTACAAAGTCCAACTTAAATTCCACCATGTTTGATACAACACCGCATTTCTTTTTTATATAACAACTGAACATCAAATGGCACAATGTGGTTGGAAAATATGTGCTGCCGCCCCTTTGAAATGTGTGCGTAGAGCATTCCTCTCAAAACATTGATGAAATCCTCTCGGAGGCCTCAACCACTAACTTCCGCCTCCGTTCCTTCATCGCCCAACAGGAGACTATTTTTGTGGCGTTTTTATTTCGTTGTTGTCAGCAGGTCCTAACGAGTCTTTCATGTGCACCTGCTTTGACACTGCTGTGGTTCACCTGACATACAAAAAACAACAACAACAAAAAAAGCTGTTTGGAAACACTTAAGTTGCTCGCTCGCCTCCCTGCAGGCCTGCTCCCTTTGATGACGGTTCCAACTCACAGAGCAGACGACACTGTAGTTAAAACCACACTGACCCACATTTGTCTTAGCTTGATTAACAGCTGTCTGCACGCCCGGCCCGTGTGTGTGTTTGACTTTACGTCGAAGCGTAGAGCAGACACGTTGGTTGGCGTCGTGTATTGCGTGCGCGTGTGTGTGTGTGTGTGTGTGTGTGAGACGCTGTCGTGCATGTTCTGATTTTAATGATCTCCTCCCAGCCCCTCTGGCCCAGCGTGAGCTTACTTCGACTCACATCAGGATAATTAATATGGCACTCAAAGCCCTGGAAGAGCGCATGGCTCCTTTTCGCTGGCTTTTCCCACACCCCGCTGCTCATAACTCGCCCATTTTATTTATTACATTTATTTTTTTAAATAAAAAGAAACTCTTTATTTCTCTTGGCTCACCAGAGAGACAAAACGTGTCGGGCGACAAAGTTTGGGCAACTTTCACGCACGCGAGCAACATTGTGGACACAAATAGTGTCAACCAGCCATAAAACTGTCCCTCAGAGACGGCTCTGTTTGGCTCATGAGACCGTGGTTGCTAGTTTGAAGCAGAGAAATCACTCCTATGTGCAACATTTTGACTTGTGCACAAGTTCAGGCTGAAGTGCGCTTGCACTTGTCCGGGTTCCGTTAGAGGTTCTCTGAAGCCAATGGTGAAGGACTGAGGATGTATGGTCTGTTTCCAGGTATGTATGTGTGTGTGTGTGTGTGAGAGAGAGAGAGAGAGTGTGTGTCAGAGTAATTTATGAGATTATTTAAATAAAAACCCTTCACCTTTTTCAGATACTCCCGTTAGCTGTAATTAGGAGCCATCTTTCTTACACTCTATTTTTCTCTCTCTCTCAAAAAACTTGGCTTGTAAATGAAAACATTTGCTAATGGTGAGAAAAAAGAAGAAAAGAAACTGCTGCACATGAGGTCTATTCTTACTATTGAGCGTTTTCCACCTCTGATCTTCAAATGGAGTGCCTTTATTTTCCATTTGCTTTCTTTGCAGTCCAGAAACTTCATGTGGGAAGAAGATTTTTCCTTCCTTTCTAGCGCGCGCGTGTGTGTGTGGGTGTGTGTATGTGTGTGTGTGTGTGTGTGTGTGTGTGTGTGTGTGTGTGTGTGTGTGTGTGTGTGTGTATGTGTGTGTGTGTGTGTGTGTGTGGAGGAGGGGGAATCTAATTGTCATGGTGAGAAATCTAATTGTAATTGATTCATTCATCTCTTTGTTACTAAAACTGACAAGTACAAGTGACTTTCAAGCAGGCAGAAGACATAACGGGACAATACGACTCGGATGGAAACAGGGAAACTGACTATAACCATTTGCATATTTCATAGCAACATAAAGTGGAGTA